CTCCTGTGAGGAGCTCAGGCCAGACACACTGTGTCTTTGGGGGGCAGGAAGAGATGGCTGAGCAGGGGGAAGGGGTTGAGATGGCAGGTGCTTGGGGCGCACCACCTTCATATCTTCCTTTTTTTCCTCTCCCAGCCTCTCCTCCTTTCCCTCAGGAGGCCTGCTAGAGCCTAGAGAAATCGGAGCAGTGGGCTGGCCAGCCAGCTCCTTCTCCAGTGCCTCTAAAACCCTCTTAGTCCATGGAGTGAGCTCTGAAAACAGAGTGTCCCCAAAGCTCAACCCCAAAGACAGCTCTGACTGCCCCTCTGCCTACAGCAATGGCTTGAGGAGGGACTGCCTGAGCAGCAGACCCATGCCCAGGGCCAGCACCTGCAGGCAACTCTGCTGGGACCACCCCAGGAGCATCCTTCTGAGGGAAGAGAACCAGGCGTGGATTCTTCATGGCACCACTCTAGCCAGAGGTCGGAGTGGTGCCAGGATGCTCTGTTGTGGTCCTGCGCTGAGGTGGGAAGGAAAGTGAGGCTCTCCCCCTCCCCTCCACCCCTGTAGTCTTCTGTTAGCCTTGCCCCAGGGCCTCTCTGCATTCCCTTCCTGACGCTCATGTTGCCCCTGGCCAAACTCAGCCTAACTTGTGGGGAGGGTGTTAGGCACCTAACTTACCTGCACTGTCGCCTGATCCTAAAACAGCCTCACACCTTTTTATAAACCCTCCCATCCAAAAACTAAGTTTTTGTTTCTTTCAGTATTGCCTAACCTAGCCTTGCTTCAGTTTGGGTTTTCTGGGTTTTTTCTTGGTTTGTTTTATTTAGAACTAGTGAATTTCTACACTGACCCTGACTGTGGTTTAAAGACTGTCCTTGAGATGTGGCTTGGAAACCTTTAAAAAAGTTTTAGGGTTTTAAACTACTCCTATCTAGATTCTAATGGAATCAGCCTGATTCCCTGTGAAGGAATGCAGGTGCTCCCTAATTCAAACACACAAAGGGGAAAAAGTTCTCTGAAAAAAGTGTCTGTCTTCACCAAAGTTTAGTCAGAGCATAAACAACACAGCACACTACTTTTTAAAAAGTTATAAACTACTTATACCTCTGTTTTATGAGCTAAAGACAAACCTGGCCTCTTTTTGTTCTCCTGGCACTGGCCTAGTTAAAGGTAGTGGCTCAAAAATGATGGTCACAGTCACAGAACAGACCAAAAAAAAGAAGAAACTGTGAGGTAACTGCGCTAGAAAATATTTAAATAATGATCACAAAATTTATACAAAAATGTGTACAAATAATCTGCATATATAAATGCACACAGGCAGTTGAAAATGGTAAAATTGACGATGATCTCCGGAATGTTCTATCGTTTCAATACCATACTAATGCATTATACACGCACTTTGCCCTAGAAACGTCCTTTCAGAGAATCTCTTGCAACTATGCTACATCAGTGAAAATTAATGAAATTGTTGATATGTACCTGTTGAAATAACAGACCAAGAGTCGCTGCTTTCACCCACATTCGGAAGCAAGAACTCTACAAGTATATTGTGATACTAACACTTTTTGTACTAACAATTTTACTAACAGTGAAAAGATCTCCTCCTCTTGGGGTTTTAGTTTAGTGTGGTTTCTTTTCTTTATCTCTAGTTGTAGTCCCTTTCCTAATATTTCTTTGTAGTTTTGTAGTCCATTGCAAAATAAAAAATATCCTTCTGGGAATTTAAAAATAAAAAAATAAAAGATAGAGATATCATCCTGCCAACAAAAGTCTGAGGAAGGCCGAGTGCTGAAGAATGGTTGCTTTCAAATTATGGTGCTGGAGAAAACTCTTGAAGAGTCCCTTGGACTGCAAGGAGATCAAATCAGTCAATCCTAAAGGAAATCAACCCTGACTGTTCCCTGGAAGGCCAGATACTGAAGCTGAAGCTCAAATATTTTGGCCACCAATTGAGAAGGGAGCACTCTCTGGAGAAGACCCTGATGCTGGGAAAGATTGAAGGTCAAAGAAGACGGGGACGGCAAAGGATGAGATGGTTAAACAGTGTTATTGATGCAATGAAGATGAAATTAAGCAAACTCTGGAGCACAATGGAAGACAGGAGGGCCTGGCATGATATGGTCCATAGGGTCACGAAGAATTGGACTCGACTGTGTGACTGAACAACAACAACAAATCATGATATGGCTGATTTATTTTCAGTCCCCTTCCTATTAATTCCCAGCACAGCATTTTCTTTTTTTTATTGCAGTCGCACACTGAGTCAACATTTTCAGTGAGTTATCTACCACAACTCCAAGATCTCTCTCCTTGTCAGTTAACTGCCAGTTTGGACCCCATAAACATGTATTTCTATTTGGGATTTTTGGCTCCAAAGTGCATTACTTTGCACTTGCCCACGTTGAACCTCGTTTTCCACAATGACACCCAATCGCCCAGCATTGACAGATCCTTCTGGGGTGCCTCACAGTCCTCACTGGTTCTCAGCGCCCTGAACAACTTAGTGTCATCTGCAGACTTGGCCACTTCGTTGCTTACTCCCAATTCCAAAACATTAATGAACAAGTTAAAAATCACTGGACCTAGTACTGAGCCCTGCAGTATCCCACTACGTACCACCTTCCACTATGAAAACTGCTCAGATGTTGTGCCTGCCTGGAGGTGAACATTTTGCCTGTTCTTCGGTTAGAGACGGAGCTTAGTAGTTAGAAGCTGTGTTACCCAGGTACATGCACTTATGAAAAGCCAGGGTGCTGGAGTGGTTAAGATGTTTGACGATGACAGTGAGACCCACATTCATGTGTTTTGAAGCCCAGCCTACCCTTCCTTGCAGGGATGTTCTGATAAAATTGTGGAGGGAGTGGGGACCATGTACGCTGCCCTGAGCTCTGTCAAGGAAGGCCAGGATAAAAATGTAACCTGTACTGTTGGTTTTCTAGAGCCTGCTTTTCAGCTTGTCAGAGGTAAAAAAATTAAGTGTAGCAATTGTGCCCCATTAACCTTGCCTTTCTGCTGCCTCATAGGAGGCTGGTGATATAACTTTGAAGAACTAATCTTGAATGGTTCTGGTCATTCAAGTGGGGAGTTAAATGAAGATGGTAGTAACCAGCTTCTCATCATTGATGGCTACCAAAGTCCTACAGTCTTGATATTTATCCATTGTGGGGTCTTCAGTATGGCTGAAACCATATTTATAGAAGAAATAATGATATGGAGATTCTGGGCTAGAATTCTTATTGATAGGATTCATCCGCCAGCTGGTACTGTTGTCTTAATTTATTTACATCATTTATAATTAGAACTGTAGCCTTTTTCTTTTCCCCCTCTAAATGTGGTTTATGCCTTTGAGACTTAAAGGCTGGATACCTTAAGACATTCTGTGAAATGCTGTGCCAGAGGATAGTTTGAGAGCTTTACAATGTGCATAATGCTGTGGCCAGCCTTTTGCCAGTGGCAACTAATTGAGAGCATATTACCCCAGATGTCCTGTGTCTGTCTTCATAGCTCTTCCAAGCTCCAGAACATTTGGCCCAGAATGCCTCCTTTCATTCCTGTTTCCTGGGAACATGCATTCAGAAATTAACTTATTAAAATCTGAATCACTTCCATCCTTTAATAATACAGTATATAGAATGTGATTGCTATTAAGTCAGCAATCTATTGGGAAATCTTAGGAAATAGCCATTATTTTGGAGTGCCACTTTTGTTTTACACAGTTGCACAAGGTAAGGGTACTGGGCAGGGACAAAGACAGAGCTGAAGTAGAGGTGTGAGTTAGATGTCCTTGCTGAGGAGGGTCATCCTACCAGACATCAGTGTGCATGTGCACACAGTTCCCACTTTCGAACAACCATTGCTCTGTGCCCACTGGCAGGACTGCCTTTACTCTGCATAAGTGATTTATATTTGCTTACTGTTCTGTTTTGGTGCTGCACCTGCACAGTGGTAAATGTTTTGAATGTACACTCTGAAAGTAGGCACTGCAGACTTGATGGGGGGGGGGATCTAGAGGCAGAAATAGATGAAGTAGGGGGTTAGGCACTTGAAATAGAGTGTTTGGCCTGAAAATGTAGTACGAAGTTTGAGTCCAGTGGCACCTTTAAGATCAACAAAGTGTTATTCAAGTTATGAGCTTTCGTTTGCACACACTTCCTCAGATACAATGAAATGGAATTTACCAGTCCATACATATAAGGCAGAGGTTGAACAGCAGATTAGCATACAACATAATGAAGATGTTTTAACAGATGCAAATAGGAATAACAATCTAAGTTTATAAGGTCATCGTTGTTTGGATTTAATTCCAGAGAAAAACAGTGAAGCAAATAAATATGTTGAAATTGAGATAGTTGTATAAATGCATCCTTCTTAATTGTGGAGTACTAAGAGTAATTAACTGAGACCTTGTTACATGGAAGTGTGCTTGCACACAAAAGTTCATACCTTGAATAAAACTTTGTTGGTCTTAAAGGTACCGCTGGACTCAAACTTTGTTCTACTGCTTCAGACCAATACAGCTGACCACCTGGCTTGAAAATGGTTAGTTCATGCATGTAAGAATACAAAAAGGTCCAAACTGGCCTTTGCTCAGAGAATCCAGGGATACAAGCAACAGTGATGGTCTCTTGGCAGGATATCCTGAATTATAGGGGATGGTTCCAGTTCCACAGACGTCTTCCTGAAGTTGTGGATATCAATTTGCATGTATGAAACCTCCCAGGTGTTGGCTTCTACTATACAGGAAATGTAGATAAGATGTTTGGATTTTATCATTAGGTGCATCCACTATTTTTTGATTTTTTTAAGGATTGGCCAAGTATGTGAAGACTTGTGGTAACTTGAATGACCAGTTTCAAGTCAACAGATGACCTAAAGCAGCTAAACAGTTTATTCAAGATTACCAACTTCAGATGACAGTTGCCCTGGTTTAACAGCTTCTGGACTACAGACACTAGGCTCTTGTACAGAGTGACAGCTGTGTCCTTCTTAATTCCTTTATCTGTCTGTTACTCTAGGTATGGTGTCTGTTTTGGACTTGATGCAAGGTGGTTTCCCATCACGAGCTTCATTCCATGAGTTGTATAATATGTATAAAAAATACATGCCTGCAAAATTGACCAGATTGGATCCTAGACTCTTCTGCAAGGTATTACTTTCCAGAATGTTCAGTATACTGCCTTTGGCTTTCTTCTTCATAATGAATAGCTTTGCTCTTTCCAGAGCTATCTCTGACAAATTGTTTTTTTCCCCTTTTGCCTCAGGCACTTTTCAAAGCCCTTGGTTTAAATGAAAATGATTACAAATTTGGATTAACCAAAGTGTTTTTTAGGCCTGGCAAGGTAAGTAGAGATTATGAACATAAAGTGAAATAGTTTTTGCTTCTTTTTCTACTAAGCAACGTAGCATGAAAGCTGTGTTAATCTTGGTTCCCCTCCCCCACATTCTTCAGATATGCATACTGACATGGCCATTTTCCTATTTCATTTATTGATTTAAAATTCATCTCTCACACTCTGTGTGCTTGGTAGTTTATAACAGATTTGTTTTAATCCTTATCTCTCCTTATATATAAAGCTGACTTTGGGTGGCAAGATTCTATGCACTCCCATTGGCTGTAAAATGCCCTCCCTCAGCCATTGGCCTGCCAGCCGCCACTCAGGAGTACTGACGTGCCATTGGCCAGATGCTGGGTCTGCTCCTCTTCCCCGCCCACTTCCCCTTCAGCCACTCTTCTATGTCAGAATTCTTAGCAAATGGCTTTGTCTCTTGACATAGACGCTTCTCCTGCTTGCCTCATGTGTGGGACTTAACTTTTCCCTCAGTGGCTGTTGGTAGGTGTAACGAAATGGCAGTTACCTGTGTTTGCAAGATGGCTGCTGGGCTGCTGTCTGTGGTTGTTTGTTTAAAATGTTCCGCCATAAGATTTAATTGAGCTGTAGTTCCAGAGAGGGGCCTGTAGGAGTATCACTCACTGGGTTGAATGGGTCTTCCTCATCTCCTGGACTACATTTCCCAGCTGCCCCAAGGCAGAAAACGGCAGGAAAACAGGGACTGTCCCAACATGCAGGGCAGCATCAATATAGACTGCAGCCCATCCAGGAAGGAGGCCATCTTCATCCTACAGGAAGTTAGGAAAGGCTCCTGCTGCCTGTGCTGTCCAGGCCACAAGCCAGAGATGTGGGTGAACCCTTGGAGGCAGCAGAAATTCAGCCACTCCACAGTCAGCTGGACTGGGGAATGAATTGAAGTTTCCCTGCTCTCTTGGGCCAGAGAGAGAGAGGCTAGAGCAGAGAGCCAGAGGCCGGTGTG